AGAGAACACAAAGGATATTTCAAAAGACATTAAAGAAAGCACAGTTGGCAGAGATGTTGTGTTCCGAGGTGTGAGTCTTTCTGTAAAATGGCATTTTGGAGAACTCGATATCTCTAGTACCTTTTGCAGTAAATACAGTAGTTTTGGGGGAGACAAATGCACCCATGATCCTGTCTCTGCCCAAGACTGACTTCTCCATGCTCCAGATTTTGGAACTGGCATAAGGATAGTGTGTCCATAGATGGGTAACCTGAACTGCATGTGGTCCTCAAAAATGTTGGGTGGGGCTCTTAAGAGACAGCCAAATGTTGTGGTCAACTTAATGTGACAGAAGGCAAAAATGAATAAAACACATGACCAGGGGGTAATCATATGAACTATATTTAATGTTAATTAAATGCACATACAAATGAATTGAAACCAAATTTAATTTTGATCCCCATTATTTTGGGAACAGCAGTCCCTAGCATGCCACTCAAAAGCTGAATGTGGTTCTCATTCCAAAAGAAACCGCACGTTCTTGTTCTGAAGGATGCAGGCATGGGAAGGAAAAAGGACCGCTCCTAGGAACGAAACGGCAATCTTTATTTCATTTAAGTACTGGCTGTTTCCTTGTTTCTCTAGAACAGTTATGCCTGGTTCATTCAAATCCTTTTTCAACCGATTAGCTGGGTTCAGAGAACAAATGCAGCCTGTTCCCCATGAACTTAGTCAGAGTCCCTGACTTTTTAATTCTGGCAGCACCCAGTCCCAGCTTTCAGGCTACAGATGGGGTTGGAGAGTAAGAGTGGTAGGCTGGAAACAGCAGATGGGTTGGGAGCAGGAAGCCAATCTTGGTAGAACTTCACTGCTCTCTTGTGGTGAATGAGAGTAGTTGCGAGGAGAAGACCACCAAAAAGGTATTTTTTCCCCTTTCCCCTTTCTCGCTACTGTTGAATTACCTCATTGGCTGTGCAACAGTAAAAACTCCTGTTTCACATGATATATTCAAGCTCAAAGGTCTACACATTTCCTTATGAGATTATGCCAAAGAATTGCCTCCATGTGCAATTCAAGGTGCTGGTTGTCACTGATAAAGCCTTTCATGGCATAGGGCTTGGTTGTTTGAAGGACTGCCTGTCTCCAGTGGTTTCTGCCTGTCCAGTAAGATGGGGGCACTCTGTGTCCCTTCAATCAAGAAATGTTATCTAGTGGGACCGCAGAAGCGTGCCTTTTCTGTTGTAGCACTTGCCTTCTGGAACAAGGATGGCTCCTACCCTACAAGGGTTCCATAAATCTTTGAAAACATGGCTTTACAACCAGGCCTATGGTTAGGTTGTTTGTTGAGGCCCTGATGTTTTTTTTTCTTCCTGTAATGTGTGATTTTGTCCAAGTGCACATGCTATTTTCTTTTTCGTTGTCTTCTCGTTTGAACTATGGAAGCCTCCCAGAGCCATTTGGAAGTCAGATAGCCTTCCAAATCTAATGAAACAAAGAGATAATGTGTCAGATCTGTATGAAGAATTGCTTTGATAATATCCGACAGGTAGCAAGGTGGATGGACTGAATTACACTGGTGCTAGGTGGACCATTGGAAGATCTGAAGGACAAGGTTGGGGACAGATTGTCCTGGAGAAAATCAATCTACGTGTTTGTTAAGAATCAACAACAACTTGATTGCATATAATCAGTGCGTGCATCTCTGCAGTTGACAAGTAATAATAGCCAGGTCATTTGGAAATAGCTTATGAGAGCCCGAAAGCGGGCCATAACATAGAAGAACTTCAGAAGTTCTTTGCAGTACACAAAAATGCTGCCTTTACAGAGATCATGAATGTGTGCCATTGTGGACCCCAAGGACTTTGGGGCCGCAATGTTGTGTTCAAGAGGGACAATGTTTTACAAGGATGTGGTTATCTTAATGGGAGCGTGTAAGAGAAAAATCCCTCTACGACCTAGAAGAAAAGATAGTATATCTTAGGTCGGATAAGGAAGTGTATATAACATCTTCTGAGCTGATAGGTAGATAAGTAGAACATTCAATAATATTTATATTAGAAAAACTTGCTTTTGCCTGTGACTTCCTTTTTAGTAAGTTCCATGAACTGAAAGAAAAGAATGAAATAAAGTGTTTATATGCGTGTGATATTCTATGGAGCTGATCTTGGCTTTTAAAGTTTGAAACTGAACTTCTCTAGAACTTTATAAATCCAATTCATCTTTGATCCAGATATTTCCGAGAAGTCTTGGTGCTCTGAAGCACACAGCCTGTCTCCAAATGTGTTGAAAGTGAGACTGCAAATAGTGGATCTGCTTCTTCCTTCTTGGAAACAAGCCCTATTTTGATTCTGAACATGTGCCTGCATTTTTTAAGAGGGACAGAGACTTGGAAACAAACCGAGATCAATGTTGGTGATTCTATAGCTAAGGCACCACCTGATGTTTTGAAAAGCCTATGGAAGACCTGTAAATTACTTGCACTTGTTCCTCAGCAGCTTGAGAGAGTGAAACGTGTCCACTAGCACACATGCTTCCAACCCCACCCCCATCCCCTACCACCGAAGAGTCTAGGAAGCAAAGTAGATTGATCGGATGTTGCTCTTTGGTTTACAGATATGACCTTAATTTTCTCAAGTGGCACAGAATAATCTTTCTGGATGGACCTGTCCATCCAGATTCTCTGTATCACTAGATTGTATGAATGGGTGGTTCCCTTTGGCATTGTGCAGCAGCTGGAGGTGAAAGGCTTGCAGTTTATCATCTGAAATCAGGAGCCGGGCTTTGTTGATGGAAAAATTTATGGGTCAGGCCATTCTGCAGGGCCAACTTTCTCATTTGAGAACCTGTATATCACAGCTGGCAGAGCCCGTGAAGACATCGTTCAAGAGAAAATTGACCCTTGCCCCAAGACATCTAATGGGGGGTGCTTAGCCTGGAGGAATTACACAACTTAAGTGAATGAAGGATGCAATTTACAGCTTTGTCACTGGCAACTAAATGTCTTGGGACAATCTTGCCAGGGTTCTTGGATGTCATTCCTTTCTATGCATTATTGAAGGTTTAGCCAAGCTCTGTCTGCTATAAGCTGCTTTAAAGGGCCTTTTGATGTGAGGCTTAGAAAAAGAGGTGCATGTTTGAAAGATCTTTGCTTGTGAAGTATGTGTTGTTCTGCTCCTCTCCGTCCCAACAGAAAGAGATGATCTTGTAGGCCACCTGGAATATGAGCTTGAGGCTGGGCTCATGTAGAACACAATCCTTTTCTTAAGCAAAAGATTAGCCATGGGAAAAGAAACCCAGTGGCTTCTCTTAATATTTGATTTTTAAAAATAAGAGGAGCTGCATTACATAGAGAAACAACAGTTTATATATTTCTTTGTGAATTTGATTTTTTAAAATGATGGATAGCGCTTGGTTCTCAGTCATGATTTCTCAGTTTTGTCCTTATTCTGCAATGGAGAGAATGTTTGAGGATGTCTGTTACAAGGGATGAAAATGGTTAAGACTGTCTTATGATCTGAGTTTCTGTTCTGCTCTGGAAATAAAATCAGGGAGGTTGTAGCTGTAGATTGTGATTAAAATACCATGTTATGCCCATTACATTTCTTCATGAATATGAATATCGCATTCAAAAAGCTAAAAACAGAGGGGAAAAACAAGCTCAAAGAACAGAAATGATTCAAACCATGAAATATTCCCCCCCCCACATGCTTAAAGCACATTATTCAGGAGAATATTAATACATTAATATTAATG